ATGTGCAGTTTAATGTTGTGTTTCAAACAATTTTTAGCTGAAAAAGTGTGTAATGGAATTAGGGTGTCCCCTGAATACTCCTAACAGTAGGAGATGCCTCTTTGTTTTGAACACCAGAATCCCAATAGACCCATGACAGCAGTGAAATTACACTTTTGACCTTGTTCACTGAAGTGTTTCTTTCTCTGTATGATTAAATGAGAGTAACCAACAATAGCTTCCTCTAAAATGTATGAGTTTCCCTCCGTTTGTTTCTCATAAACTCAGAGAGGATGCTGTGCAATTCTCAGCTGATGGTGTTCTCCACAAAAGAAAGAAAGAAAAAAAAAAAAAAAAAGAGAACAGGAAAAACAAACCCTGCTTGATTCAAGGAGAGGTGGCTGTTTTAACCATATTAAAAATGCAAAAGCAACTGATAAACTGGTATTTTCCTTAAGCCAGTGTTGTTGCTGCATCCCAAGTGTGAGAGCAGCAGTACAACACAGTGGCATATTTTTGCCCTTTTGTTGCTTCACTCTCCACGTGTTTTAGAAGGTGATATATACTAAAGCACCAAGTACTGTTTCAAAGTATCAGATCTGAATATAGAAGATAACCATATTCTTAATGTTTTGTGTGAATGCTGAAATACTCAAAAGCTCATTTAGCTGATCGCCATGGACTATGTAGTTACATCAATTCAAAGGATAAATGTAGTAGTTTCTGTAGATTTACATGCAGCCTTTTAAAGTCCTGGTGTTTCTTTTCACTTGCATGTGACTGAGTGGACACAGCCTGCTGCAGGATTTGCAGTGACCAACAGTCTCGCTTTATGCACCAAGGTGCTCGCACATCACTTGCTCCACATTTAGTTGTTCAGGCCATGGCTTCTCTGGATCAGAAAATGCTCAGTGAAGTGGCCAGAAGAAAGATACAAACTGAGAGTTTTGTTTCTTCCATTTTAGGCTACTTCAGCTGTGCTTTGAGGACCTTTTTCCTAATATATTCCTGTTTTCTATGAATATTTACCAGCTCCAGATTAGTGATCGTACATGCTTTGCACAACAAAGAAAGTATCTGTGAAACACAAGGGCAACTATGATCCTGTGGTTCATGTGGGTGGGGAATTAGGTAGCTGGGTTCAAAAGAGGGGAGAGGACTCAATGAAATCCATAGTTTGTTTTCAGATGGGATCAAAATAAGTGATTTAGTGGCCTCTGTGGCATCAAGACTTAAGGCATTTCTCGTGTTTGTTTGCTTGCTGTGGATGATGTTGTGTGGAGAGGGCATCAGAGCAGTAGAGCATGGAAGGCAGTGCACTGAGAGGTCTGCAGATCTGTGACTCCCGATTTCCTATCCTGCCAGAAAAACTTTTATTTTTTAAGTACTACTTCACTGGTGATATAAATTAATGATTGGTATGGGTCTGAAGCAACCTTGACATCAGAGAATATTTGGTTAGTGTTGACATGCTTGTTCCGTCTGAACATGAATCATCCATCTGCCTTTGGCAGGCTCACCCTGTGGCTCTGCTATAATGTGTTTCACCAGTGTGGCTGAAATTAGAATGTCACTATTAAACATGGCAGAATAAGATGCTCTCTGGGCACTTCATGTCTTCAAGTTCTTCTTGCTTCCTATGTAGCTATTTCTGACAGTTTAATAGGACATCTGTATTCTGCTATACAATAATATATTCATATTTCCACAATGCACAGGGAGCTAAATGCTTTCAGAGCACTATTTCATTGCGTACATGCATTTTTCATGCATGGCAGAAGCAGTAATGCTTGTGTAATGCCATGATGCTGCTCAGTCCATTAGGAAGTGTAAAGTCCAAATTAATTGTCCTGCAGGACCATGCAGCGTGGGTCTCTAAAAGCAGTTGCTGGGCTGCTTGTGGCTGCTGCGTCAGCCAGGCTCCCTCCCCGTGAGCAGTTACTGACTTTGGGCTGTTGAATTCAGGGCTCTGGAGGTTGCTCAGTGGGAAAAGCCTTCAGCTGGTTCTTGGCAGCTCTGTCACTGCAAGGTCACCGAAAGGGCAGGTCAGGCTCCAAACCCAATTAGGGCCTGATTCGGCATCTCTGCAATCACAGGGGAAAAATCCCATTGAGCAGGGTGGCTCCCAGGCCAGGCTTTCGCACCCAGCTTCTCCAGTGGGATGGCTGGCGAATGTGTCTTGTTTTTGTCACTTGGGCCGTCAGAAATACCATTTGCTGTCATGAAATGGCTAGGCAGCTGGTGCAGAAAGGTAAAGAGCCTGGTGGGAGGATAATGAGCCCACCACAGTTGACAGACCAGTGACCTGTACGTGTATGCCTGCGTCCCTCCTGTTACTCATATCTAGAGCTGTCTAATTCCTCGGATCAAATCACTTGACTCTTATGAGCAGCTGTAACTTTCAAGCTGAATAAAGTCCAACTGCTGAAAACATTAATGAAAAACGTAAAACTGAGGTTCTGTTTTATCAGGTATCAACAGCATTGCTTTAATTTCCCCCCCTCCAAAGATGTTGGTTTTGGTTTTTTTGTTTTTTTTTTTTTGTGCTGGGTTGTGCTTTTAATTCCAGGTGGCTGCAATTTCTAGTGAAAATAAGTTGAGCTATGAAAGGTTGACCCACTCACCTCTGAATTGCTTTTTTTATATGATGCGAGTCCCTCAGGGCCCAATTCTACCCATAGAAGTGAGAATGATAGCTATCAACATATATAGGAAGTATGTTGGTGTGCACAAAGAAAAACGTGAACCCCAGACTGGTTTGAGTGGTCTTTAAAATATGGATTTCCTGTGAAATGGTGATTAAAGGGGAAGTAAAGGATAATTAGAAAATTAGCCTGACATGCTAGCAGTCATATCAATGTGTGGTTTTATATTAGCTCTTTCAGACAAGCACAAGATCAGTAGGTCCCTTATGACTCTCTTAAGCTAGTGTGTAAAATTTGGTTAGTGTCTGATCAGCTCCTTTGATCAGTCCAGTCTAGACTGTTGTCAGAGTACTTACTCTGTACTAAGCCCACAGTCCCCTTAAATGGAGGCCAACTCAAGTGAGTCAAGTTACATATAAAAAACTTATAAAAACTGTCCACTGTCTTTGAGTAAGTGAGTCTGGTTCAAAGCCAAATACCATAGGAACTGCAAAAATAAAAGCAAAAGCGTTGTTGCAGAAAGGAAGTGGTAGAGTTCTTAATTCATTTTTAAGTTGCTGTCTTGGAAATCCAAAATAAAAATTTTCATCAAACCTTTATTATTTTTAATTGGACTGGCATTTTTGTAAGCCTGTAATGTATTCAGATCCTATAAAGGGGAAAGAATTCCATCAAAAATTATTCACAAATTTCTCTTAAGAAATTAATGAGTTACAACCACTATGTCTGCCTCATTTGAAGCACAAAATATTGTTTTTAATTGTAGCGGTGGAGGGCCAGTGGGAGCCTTCAGTATGTAGGTTGCACTCTTGCCCACCTCTAATTTCTACACAGGATTATTTGTAAGGGAGTGCTGGAAGTCCAGGAGCAGTAAATTTGCTGTCAAAGTAAAGCTGTTTTCCCCTCATGACTAGAGCCTGTTCCCACCTCTCCCATTGTAGCACCATCCTGTACCTGTCCTTTGCCACATAAATCTCAGAAATGCAAACAGTTCCTTTCCTCTTCGATAATGCTCCTTCTTTTTGCATACTAGCAATAGCAGATGATAATTTGGAGACAAGTTGAGTCCAATATCATGTCCAGAAGACTTGGAAAGTTATCCAGTGCCACTGTTTTTACAAATCTGGCTTGTACTGTGGCTGGTTTTCTCAAGATGCCTGTGTTTTGAATTTAAAGGTTAAATTTTCAGTCTTCGTGTGCCTACCATATTTGCCGGTTGCATTGCAGTGCCATCAGAATGCCTGACATAGAAGCAATGCCAGCAAATTGATCAAATTATTAAGAGAAGTAAGCTAGCACATAAATATCACATCAACAGGATTAAAGGAGCACAGAAAAGAGACCATTTAAAACATATAGAAACTGAAAACTAACAGTTGCTTGTTTCGTCTACACCAAATTCTATGCAAATTCAAGAAGAGAGCTGGTACACTGCTACTATCCAAACACTGAATTAATCTATTGATGGTTGAGAAACAGCTCCAAAACAGACATTAAAATCTTTGAGATGATACGTAGTTCATCCAGCTCTTTGAAAGAGCCAAGCGTTACTATACTTGTAGAGCTGCGTAAATGATGGAAAGATAAAACAATGTAATTCTGTGAGAGAATACATGACTGCAGAATGCAGTAGGAATACTGGGTAAATTCTTCCCTCTTGTGCCTGTGTTTCAGCCAATGGCATTACACCAGGGAAGAATGGAACTGCATTTTGCATGTAGCATAGCAGATTGTTAAGAGGCAACAGGCAGGTGTTCGAGAGAATTTCCTTCTCTGCCATTTGCAAAAGTGTATGTGAAATCTGGATGATCTATAGTCATTCCATTATCTGCCATCTTTTGGCAGGTAACTAGTTAAATTTGTGTTGAACGGGACTTGCTTTTCCATTTCCATTTGCTGGTGGAGTAGAAATGTTTTGACGTGACATATGACCAATCAATAATTGGAAAGTGCTTACATGAGTCATTTGAAGCCAGTAGTTTAGACAGTCTCAGCCACAACTGGGATTAAAACCTGCAAAGAGTTGTTCTACAATCAGTGATTCTACAGCATCTCCTCTGGGTGTCTGCATTTCACTTAATAAGGATACCCTGTAGACATCAACTGAAATAACTCTTGCCTTTGTTGCTCAGATGTTTTTGTGAGCTCTGAAATGAACTTGGCATATACAAATATACTTTGCTATCCAGCCTGAAGGATGCAGGGCAGGAATTATTATCCTGTTCTGCTGACAACATCAGTGGAAAAGAAATGGCTTTATTTTACTGTGACTCCGAAGAGAATAAGAATGTGACTGTACCCTGTGGTTTTCTGGGTATTTTCTATTTTTTTTTTTTTTTATTTCCCTATATTGATGATATTTTATTACCATTACAGGGCTATAATAATTCGAAATGGTGAAGTCATTCCAATGTCTTCAGAATTCACTCCAGAGACCGAACGCCAGCGACTTCAGTATCTGGTAAGAGACTTGAGGACCAAATCAGGTGCTGATGGTGACAAGTGTTGCTTGGTAATATCTAAGGTTCAGACACACGCCACTGTGTTGCTGTGGTTTGGTGAAGGACCATGTGTCTGCCGAACACCAGTGACTGAACATGTTTGTCTTTTAGCCATCAGCAACTGTGGAGAATAACCTGGTGGTGGAAATCTTAATGAAAGGAGGCTTATCTCTTCTGTGAAGGCCATCACTTAGCATGGCTGTGTTTGTGTAGCTTGTTCAGATGCAGACCTTCAGCAGCTTACTGGTGTTGGATAATAAGAGCTCAGACATGGAGCTCTTTACTGTATGACAGTATAAAATGCCACAGACTGCTTTTTGTGTGCACGTGAAGAATATTGCAGGGTTTTATTAATTTTCTCTAATAGTATGCCAATAGTATCTCGATCATGGAAAAGGCATCTGATTTAGAGGTGATCTCAGTGATCATTAGCAGCTACAAGATAGGATGGGTGAAGAAAGACTAGGTTTATTTAGTGTAGCAGCACCCATAAAGCTGGGACAGGGTGACTAGCTGAGGACATGCAGGATGTTTTTTATACATCAAGTTTTGTTGGCTCATAAGCTGGCCAAGAAACGTAAGTCAAAATGCATGCTGTTATTTTTCTTGCAAACAATCTTAATACTTTTTAAGTTTTTCAGATTGGTCAGTTGAAGTTGGTTGGCTGTCAAGACATCATTGCTAATGTGGCCAGGAAATTTCTTTTGTGCTTCTTCACATCTCCTGCTTTTTCCTCTTGGCATAGGCCAAGGCAGGCTTACTGTCAGCTTTGACTGACACAAGGTGGACAGGCCAAGGCTAGTGGTGTTCCCTGATTTTAAGGTGTATCTTATCTTCAGCCTGGCCCAAGCACTGTAGTTTGAAAGTAGGCAAAATGGCAGCAGTTGAAGGTGGGGGTATAAGGGTTTAAAGAAAAATTACAAATGTTTCCACAATTGTCACGTTTGATTTTTAGTCCAGTTCAGTGGCTTGATGCTGAAAATTTCAGAAGAAATACTGCTTTGGGAGTATTCATATTCAGAGAACCAAATGGAAAAGAGGCCTAATAAATATTTACAGTTCAGTTACATTTAAAGTAATTTGTTTGCCTTTAAAATAAAAGGTATCTTTAGTATCTAGGGAGTCTGCTACTTCTGTAGGAAATACGAGATAAAGCATTGCCTACAAGGGAATTTTTTCTCTTTTGATGTCCTTTCTGGCTTATATTTGAAAACAGCAGCTGATCTGAAAGACATTTCTCCTGTTTCCTTTGGAAAATTTCTTTACCTTTGTTTGTTTAATTTAATTCTATATGTAACAAATATGCCAGGGCTGTGGATATCATATTCAAAGAAAATACATACAAGACAGTAAGAGCATGAAACAAAATTAGAGATAATTTCAAACATAGCATTCCATAAGTAACATTTTTACTATAGTGTTTTAAAAAAGAGAAAAATATTACCTCAAATTTCTTACAAGGTTGGCTTAAACATTACACTCCAATGGTTGCATCTGTCTTTCTGATTAGATCCCAAATACTCACTTTGGCTGTCCCCAGGTTCTGCTATCAGTCTATTCCACCATCAACATCTCTCTTCTGATGTTCTTATCTGAAAGTTACTTACTTTAGAGTTATTTTCTTATTTGTAGTTAAAGCTGAGTTTCTTTGTTTCAAACGTGTTGCACTGTTCTTCCTGCACAATAGGAAGAAAATCACTTAATCATTTTAGCATTAATATTTGACTTCAGAAATGTGGAGATACCATTTCATATGGGGATGTTACTGCCCAGGCAAAGGAAGGTTATGGATTTACAGCCTGCAGGCCACTGAGCATTGGTTCCCTGTGCAGTAGACACTGTTAGCACAGTCAGGGCCAAGGAGCTTTCCTCTGCCTTTAGTGCCTATTGATCGTTTTGGCCACGTGGGACTTTCCTCCTTTCTGGGACCTAATTTCCATGTGTAAAGAAATCTGTGGGATAATGAGTTGTTCAGTCCATGTGAGCATCTCTATACGAAGTTTTCCAGCCTAGTCTTAGACAAAACTGTGCTTCAGCTACTACTGGTTGAGTAACTGAGAGGAGGGGAAAACAAGTGTTTTCCTTGTCCAGCTCCCATTTTAATGCAGGTTTATTGCCACGTATCCAAGAACGGCCCTGAGCATAGGCCTCTGGCATGGCAACCTCAAAAGACCAGGTTGTCTACCCAGTCATTCTGACTTTTGAGCAGTTCTGGGCATGGTTGTCCCTCTGTCTCCACATGCACCCCATTGTTTTGCAGCGGGAGGACAACATACAGCTAGGGATTTCAGGCAGGCTGTATGGCAGAGGCAGACTTCTTTCTCAGGGGACTTGTGACTGTATCGCAGAAGACAGTCAGTCCCTCAGTCAGAGAGAGCTTCTACAGATGTAAGGCATGAAAACCTAGCACCAGTATTCCCTTGGTCCTTTGGCTTCTGTAGAGGATCAGTGCTTCCCTTCCACTGGTGGATGTTCACAAGGCTCCTTTTGTTTTGAATTTTTGTGCCTTTATTTTTAGCGCTGTGGCAGGAGAGCTCCACACAGTACCTACTCAAGGACAGCCCTGGCTTCCCATATTACTGTATCATGAGGGAAAACAAAATCCAGTATCGACTGGGAACTGCTCTGGTACATTCGGCAGTTGTGCAGACAGCTGCCAGAGGCAATTTTCCTTTCATATTCTGAGGAGACTATTCATTTCAGTCATGATAGTCTAAATTGCAACAGTAAATGGCATAGATTTTGTTACTTATTCCCTTGGAAAACACGTTCAAAATGAATGATGAATGAGTGTACTGCAGATGGGTGTACTTCAATTAGTTATGAAAGCTGCACTTCGTAGATGTCCTGTGAGGTCAGTGGTGTTCCTGCGTACTCTGACCACGTGTGTAGCTCGGTGGTGCCCCAAAAGTTCACAGCTCAGAGCAAAGATGGCGCAGTCCTGCTACCAGGGCAGGTTTTACTGCTCGTAGAGACTGGGTAGCTATCAGTAGCAGTGAGCTGTGGATGCTCTTTGTGTTTGGCACCACTCAAAGTTTCATGAGCCTGGACAGGCATGCGTTCAAAGAGGACCTATTCTTATTTCATTGTTCGGGTGAGGATTAAGTGATACTTACATGCTGAAGGATGCTTGGAGAACCCAGGCATAAAGAGGAATGAACGTAAATCTCCTAAATGTCAGTTCAGTGCTTCAGTTACAAGTCAGATACACCTTAATTCTCATACAATTTGTGGTTCCCTGTAACATCCAGCATAGGATTGCTTTGGCCATCTGATATTGCACAATGCTGTGGTAAAAGGGAGGCTTAAACATGTCCATACGATAATGGCTGAGTAATTTGCAAAACCTCTGGATGCCTTGTGCTGTACATGCTGCTGTGAGCGATTGTCCCATATACTAGAATATCCCATTGGAGAAAATGGCACAATATGAAAAGATAAAGTTTTAAGATATAGTTGACGTAGGGGAAAACAGCAATTTTGAAAATAGCACAAAATACGGTGAAACTGCCAGTGCCGGTGATGTCCCTGAGCCGTGCTCACTGGAGGAGCTGAAAAAGGCATGAGCAGGCTTTATCGAGGTACAATAAGATACATGCAGTGTTCCCTGCAGCTTAATTGTCACACTAGTGTGTAAGTCTGTGTTTATCTTAATTTCATGTTTGCTTTGCTGATCACCAGGAAACACAGCAGGAAGTAAACGGCCTTTTGAAAGAAACATGAGTGGACTTCATTTTAAACAACTAATGTTGAATGTAGTATATCCATCCACAACATACCCCATAAAATGGCAGAGTACCAAAACCACATGATGCAGAGTATACCAAATTTATGCCAAAAAAATGTAATAGCTTCTGAAAGAAATATGATGAAAAATATATTAGTTCCATAACACAGAATAACAATGTTGTCTGAACAAACCACATCTCATAAGGATGTAGAAAGTGTTTGATAGTCACTCTTTTTATTAAATTTTAAGTTCTCTGAATGGTGTTTCTGATCAGAGGTTCTTGCAAATTGAGACTAAACAAATGGAAAAAATGGAAAATATGGTGCCTCACCACAGATGAAATTCTGGTAGTCAGTTCACTTACAGTTTTTATTTCTCTTTCGATCACTTGAGGGGATTTCCCGATGTCTGCTTGTATATCTACTTGAAAGATCTGTAGATTCTTGAAGCGTTGCTTTTTATTTATTTTCTGGTTATGCTGCCCAGCACGGTTTGGTTAGGGTGGAGAGGAAGAAGAGTCCTGTCTTGTAGTAAATAGAGAACAATTCTCAACAAGCCCAACTGGAAGTTGCAGCTGAGTTTTATAGTAGAACATTCTTCTCTCTGTAGAATTACAAGTAGAGTGTCAAAAATAACTGTTAAAAAGAAAAGTGTAAAAAATATACAAAATTAAAAAAAAAAAATCCCAACAAGAATCCCCATTTCTTCACATAAGAATTCAGCTCACATGCAACAGGATCTTCCAAATTGCTCTTTTCCCTCTGTTCTACTGATGCCAAAAATATGAGAATCAAGTTAAGATTGCTGGATTGTAAATCAAGCATCAAGGCTTGGCTGTGGAAGAGAAATCTTATTTAAACATTAGCAGTCCACTGGTAACTCTGCCAGCTTTATTAATCTTATTTCACTTGTGACCTCAGACTTTCCATCTGAGTAAATCTTTATGAAATGCAGTCTCTCCCAATCGCTTTACCTTTACAATGTAGGAAATTCATGTTTTCAAAGGGAAAAATGCTAAAAGCCTGTAACTTTTTTTTTCTTTTGGACTTGTGATTCAGCCTAATAAGGAATCTCATAACCTGAAGGTTAAATAACTTCATTTTTATGTCAGTTATGAGAGTTTTTTGCTTTAAATAAGGCTTCTTGGTTTGTAGGCAGACGACAGTAGTCTTTAGCTAGAAGTGGTTTGTAATGATTTAATCAAGATAGGCTGTGCATTTTTAAAAGTGAACTGAATTGCACTTTCAAAGCAGACTGACTTGATTGTATACAGTATCATAGACTAGAAAGAATTAAAAAATACCAAAAAAGTCCAGCTCTACTGTCATTGTGTAGCAATACATCAAATAAATCGTTAGGAATGCTCCATCTTTTCTGGATGAAAAATAAATAAAACCTAAAAGTTTACATGTACTTTTAAATAAAGAATCCAGAGTTCTGGAAGTATGAAAAGCCTCATCTGGACTAATACTGCTAGACCTCTCAAAAGCCACTAGTGCTTCTCAACCATTTCTGTAATGAGGAACAGTGATCCAATTAGAGGGTCCTTGAAAACAGTATTTGAGTGGAGGAGGGGACCTTGGCTGACTGCAGGGAAAAAAAAAAAAAAAAGAAGTAATTCTCTTAACTGTACACGGAGAGAAAATTTGATGGAGCTCCTGTTCCAGGAAGGGATCACAATGTCAAGATCACACTTGCGTGCTTGAAAGCCTCCTTTTGAAAGCAGAATCCAATCTTGTTGGCTACACACAGCAATCTCCCTCAGCCCCATTTCAGCCAAGCTCAAGGTGTTTTCTGGAAGGATATCTGGTGATGGGAATGGGGACAAGCTGATGAAAGGTTAGCGCTATAATGGGCTGAGCCTGATCCTACTCCTATTAAATTGAATGGGAGCAGGCTTGGCCCTTAAATGCAGAAAATATTTTATTGTGAACTATCTGCATGATAGCTGCCAGGTAGATCAATAAGGGATTCCACTGCTTCCTGCCGCTCACCTTTGATGAGCGCTAGATTTATGACAAACCCACAAACTAAAGCCAGCTCATTTGGTCTGCCCTGATGGTAGCTGCTGCTGGAGATAAGGCAGACTTCATTGCCTTAACTGGCTGGATAAGGAAAAAGAGTTATCTGCAGAAAGGTTAAGAAACGCAACTCTTCAGTTCCCTAGCCAATTTGACTGTGTCTTCAGAAGAGCTTGCTCACAGTGTGGCTTGAGGGAGGGAGGGAGGGAGAATGGCTTGATAATGCAAATATTAAAGAAAAACGAGTGAGGTTTATTTTGGAAAGAAGAAATAGAGTGTGTTTCGGATTGACCTATCATGTCAGGTGATCTCTGTATAAATCCAAACCAAAAAATTGTGCAGTGGACAAAGAGCCTTGTGATGCTCTTGAGTACAGTCAGCTCTGGAAGACGTGAGTCTTGGACACGACTGGTGAAAAGGCCTCCCAACATCTACAGAGTAGCACAGCAGAAAGGACAGGAGCAGCATTCGAATGTTAACACCATTAGTTGCGGTTGTGACACAAAACTGCTGCTGCTTTTCTTAAAGTTTATTCTGCATGAAGGAAGTAGTTTTTAGAAGACAAGAAAATAATAGTGCTCTGCAACTTGTGTTTATTTGCAGTGTTGCATGTGATGGGGTAAAAGGGGACATTTTTCTTGAGGCAGTGACAATTAAAGTGTGGTGGTAATATTGGGCTGTGTGTGTGACAGATGAACTGGGAGTCAAAAAGCTTGAGCTTCACTCCACACGCATCCCTCCCAAGTTGCTGCTTGCTCTATGGCTTTCTCCTTTGATCATTCCCTTCTCTCAGGCCACTGACAAAAGGAGATGTGTTCAGTTTTACAGAGTGCTGTGGACTCCTTTGGAGTCAGTGGATGAGGCATAGAGATCCCAAATACTGAGGAGCGGGGAGTAGTGTTGAAGGATTTTGAGGGCAGGCGTATTGCTCCCTGTAAGGCTGCTGCTGGACAATGGGCAGTGTCAGAACTGGTGTATGTGCACGTTGTTTGCTGAAACAGAGCTCATAATCTTCCTTGTTTAAAAAGGAGGGGAGGAGGGGAAATATGTGTGTGGGAAACAAACGTGAAGGGATGGTAATGCTACCTCATTAAAAATAGATGATGTCTTGTTTTATGATGTTTGTGTGGTATCTGTGGCTTGGTTTCTGCCCACAGGCTTACATGCAGCCCCACTTGCTGGGAAATGAGTTCACACATTTAGAGTTTCCACGGAGGGTGCAGCGCAAGGAAGTTGGAAAGAGGATGCTCTACCGTGACTTCAACATGACTGGCTGGTAAGAATGCGTCCTTCTCAGCGTGGGGTCAGCCCTCTCCCCAGCCAATGCCTGCATTGCACGTATCTTTGATTAGCGTAAACTGCATCAAACATGAAGGTGTATGCCTGCATACCAAACGGAACGGAATTTCCTTCTTTCAGATGTATTTTTCCTTTAGAAGATAATGTTTTAAATAAGTTGACCTCCCTCTAGAGCTGAGACCTTGGTTCATTTTAACATGTGAGCACTCAAAGTGGAGCAAACACATAAAGGGGAGAACGTGCCAGGGCATCTTCCTGAAAGCTAAACAACTTTCCGATCTTGAAGTAGCTTTCTATAGAATCTGGATCAGTGGGCCATCATGCCTTTGCATGCTGAGGAATGCTTGCAGAAGGGAAGAGCTGCCTCCCATACTCTGGTGCAGCTGACCCCTGATTTGGGTAACCCTTGAGGAACTGTTTTAGAGACGGGCCTATCTGAATAAAAGTCATAGCCAGCCTAAAATGAAAAGGCTTCAATGAACAGCACTGACTTAATGAAGTGAAGACAGGGAGAACAATGAGGTTTTTGTCTCTGGCTAAATGTTTTCATTGTTTTGTGTGGGTTCAAGAGGCTCCTTCTCAAGTGACTCCCATTCACTTAGAGAAGCCCTAATCCTTGCAGTTGTGGGCTCTGTGTGTGACCTGTAAAGGCAAAGGCCCAATATATGCAAATGGTCTTCACTTCCATGCTGTTTGTTTTTTAGCAGCCTTAGCAAATGTCCTTTCAGGAAGGGAAAGAATGGAGGGGGTTAAAAAGCCTGAACTGTTGTAGGTTTGGAGATTTGGATGCTCACACACATCTACAACTCCGCATGCTTCTGATTTGTCCCATGCTTTATAGACCATAAATATAAAGATGTTTTAATGGCAGAATAATGATCTAAGTTTAATATTATCTGGAGTTTTTGTGAAGAATATGTTGATCTGGGAATAACCATCATTGTCCATCATCAGCTACTAGTAGAATATGCAGTCTCACCCTGACAATGATGACTTCATATTTTAAAAAGGCTACAGGCATGAGCAAAAAAATAAGAACAGAATGAGAACATTGGATCAACTGAGGACTTAAACAGCAAACCATTTGGAAGATCATGAGACACACTCCCAGTATCTTCAAAGGGAGTTTTCTTACTAAACTCCAGGATGTCTCTGAAGGCATCAGTAAATAATGGCTTCATGTAGACTTCCAAATGCTTTTTTCAAGATGTGAGATGCTATTGGGGGAAAAAAAAAAATAAAAAAAAAAAAAAAAAGAAAGAAAAGTAAAAAAACCTTCTAATTTGTAGGAGAGCTACAGAGGTATCATGGGTCAAAAACTTCCTGAGAGGAGGGGAAGAGGGTAAGAGCAGACATCTTTAATCATGGTTGGAAGGCAGTGAGGGTTTCTCCAGGTTCGTGGGAGTTGTGTTGTGTTTCCCTGGTTGATTAGTGGTCTGGAAAGGAAATGAGGTTAGAATGGTTGAAGTTGTAGCATTGGCAGGTGACACCACAGCTCTTTTCCCAATGAACAGGAGAGGCTGTGAAGAACTGCAAAGAATTAAGAGACTTACATGAGTGGGCATCACAGTAATCAAATTTGGTGTTGATAAATACCAAATAAAATGTGAAGAGGAGAAAAAAAAAAAACCTATTTGTGCACACTGGAGGTTCCAAATTAACTTGAGAGCCACGTCACAAAGCTCAGTGGAAGGTCTGCTTACTGTGATTTTTTCAGTCAAAATCACCAGTAGAATGTTGGGATGCACACAGGGTTGGAATGGTTAAAAATTAAACTAAGAAATAATTCTTTATATCTGTTTGTACCTCATTTGTGAATCTACGCATAGCACTTCACCTTATCCAAAATGGTTGTTGAATAGCTAATACTGTTTGGCATTAGAAGGAAAATAGGAAGAAACAAATTTTAGATGTAGAATAATGAGTAAGGTAGAAGAGCTTGGGTAAATCTAAATGGATGGCAGATTTGATTCAATATATTGTTTTTCACTACTGGTGTGAGAACTCTTAACGCTAGCATATGGCAGGGGGAGAAGAGAGTTGATTTTCCTGTTGATTTTCATGAATTTCCTGAAGTATAGGACACATGTTGATCCAGTTACAGATTCTAATATGGTCAATGCAAAAATTACTGCCAGTTTAGCACAAATATGCCTAGCTGTAGGCAGTTATTCCAGAATAAATACTTAAACTGTGACTTGAAAATTCAGTTCTGAATTCACCTTAGTGTTGTCCCAGAAAGAGGTGGCCTGTGCCAAGCAAAAGCATGTGGAGACTGTGATGAGGGTACCTCTCCCTGCTGTTACTTTTGACTTCTGGCTCGAAGTGGGAAATGGGGGCTATGTTTTTGTCCTGAATAAAAGAATCAGAATCTTTTAGCTGCTCCATATCCCACAGCTAATGCATCAGTTAACTCCTTGTTTGTTTGCCTCAGGACAATAAAATGGTGAGGGTATTGCTCTATTGCCATACATTTATCTAAACCGGAGCCCTCCTAAATAAGGATCCGTTTCTTCTTGCAGGGTGTTTGCCCAAGAGAGTCTTGTTTTCTATCAAATTGTGTGCAGTGATCTCCTAAGCAGAGGAGAAGCAATCTGTTTCTATTTATCCAAAAGTCTGGGTCAATTTTAATGGTTGAGACTGTGGACAAAATGTTATATTTCCAGTTTTGTGGGCCCTCGGAAGTGGTGGTTTGAGATGGCTGGTGTTTTACAGTGGTCATTTTCCACTTCAGGGGTTTTGCTTCAATTTTCTTCCCTTTTTAATTCCTAGATTTAACTGATGCATCAGGACACAGCGACCGAGGACATGTCTGTTCTGCATTTGTTTCTAAGGACAATATCAATCATGGAGAATAAATTAGCGTATATATTACTTTTCTAGAAAATGTCAGATGGAGCTCTGGCCAGCCAGAGCTTGATACGCTAAACCACTGCCAAACTTTTATCACTTAGAATGCAGAAGATCAATTGTCTGAACCTTTTATTGGTTAGTGACTTCACTGTGTTGACATTTGCACATACACGTAGAGAGGTGCAGGTGATGTTAGGAAGAAACAGCCACTCTTACACTTAGTTACTGAATCCTTTGGTGAGAGGGTGTAAAACTCTCTGCTCTGATGTTTCCTCAGGAAAACAAACTGGTTTATTTTAAAATTCAGGGCACTTTCTGTGTTTTCTATTAGAAGTGGTATGATTCTTTTTTTTCATTGTTTTTACCCTTCTCCTGTGCTCTGGAGCTTTTCAGATTCTTAACAATGGCTTGGCTTGCCCAGCTTGTTTGCATTACAAAAGGTTATTGTCTTTGGGTCTGTCATAATGCATTTGGCCTTTTTTTTTTTTTGCCTTTTTTTTTTTTTTTTTTTTTTATGTGAAGTTTCCACACTGGCTTTGTCTCAACAGCCCACAGTGGTATCAGAGCTGCCAAGTTTCCCCACAGCATTAGGACAACCACTGATCCAGCAATGTGTACCGCATCACTGGTCCAGACTGCCTGTAACTGCTTTGAAACCAGACTTTCCCTTCTCCCTCCGGCTCTCCCACCCTTTCTCCTTTTTCTGTAGTGGCAGTTGGGATGAGAGATCCACTGTATTAAATATATCTAAAATAAATCCCATTTAGGTGGGAGCTGACTGTGAGTTGCCCCTCCTGCACCATCTCCTCACGCGCGTTGTGGTTGAGCAACCATCGCAAAACGTGTACTGTAGCTGGCAAGGCATCTTAAGAGCTGTGTCTCCTGCCGAACAAGCCTCCGAGCTGTCTCGAGCTGTAATTTGCTGGCAGACATCTGTGTTACTGACAGTCTTTCACAGCTGGGTCTCTGGGCTGGGCTTTTCAGGCCCATGGCTTGCAGAGGTTAAACTTTTATCGGAGAGAGGGTAGTTCTGGTGGCTTTGACAAGTCCTGGCAACAGAAACATCAGGGAAGACTTGGTGGCTGTGTAAGCAAAGTGCTGCCAGCACTAAAAAGGGGTGTGGGTAGCCTGAGGTAGAAATATATGGGGGGAAAAAAACAAGCCTTATCATAAGTGCTCCTTTAAAGAAGGACTGCACAGAGTTAGTATTCTCTGTCTCCGCCTTTTAAATAAAAGTTAAGACATGGTTGGTCAGGTTTTCTTTACTCATAGGTAAATCCCACGTGAACAATTTTAAGTACTTCGCTCTATCTGTATCCTAGACACCTTCCTAAAACCTGTTTTTCTGACTCACTGTGTCCCTCATTGGCACAGTGGCTCCTTCCAGGGTTCCCCTCTCAGCCTCCCATGGGGCCGGAGGAGCCATACAGTGCTGCACTTAACCAAAAGCATCTAGAAGGTACTAACAACTGGCATCAGCTTTGGTGGTTTCAAAGTTAATTTTTTTGTTCCTCCTTGGAATGCAAACAGTGGCCTTTCTGCTGCTTGCATTGAAGCAGAGTTCTTTAAAGGCTTGTCTGCAGATCACAGCTTTAGCTTTTTGACTCGATTTTAGGGTGACAAGAGAGCCTCAGATAACAAGTCCATTTTTTTGACCTGATTAACTGACGGTTTCCCTTGCCCTTCAGGAGCATGCAGAGTTGAGCTGTATCCCATCAAAAACAGTCTGAGCTGGTGGAGTACCCACCACGCGTCACGGGCTGAAGCCCCAGACGGCAGCAACTGGGGGAATTGGGTGCTGCAGGCACGGTGGCAGCAGAGCCCTCGCCAGCTCCGTGTCCGTGTGTCTGGCGAAGGGCTGCTGTGGCACACGATTAGCCACCCGAGGGTCAGCCCGTGCCAGGGAATCGCCCGCCCGTGTGATTTATTCCAAAGCAAGGAGGCTGGTGCCCTGGGGCGAGCGCTAAGCAAAACCCATTTTATTCTAGAGTCAATATTGTCCACTGCCTGGAAAGCCGCCAGCCTGCTCGGCGCTCGCCCTTTTCTTTCCAACAGAGAATGTCTTTCAGCCTCTAAGCATCTGATTAAAAAAGTAACTTCACTTTTCAAGCCGTTTTATTTTGT